GTTCTGTTGGTGTAGCGGTTATCACATCTGCTTAACACGCAGAAGGTCGCAGGTTCGACACCTGCACAGAACACTCTTTTTTTATATTATTTATTAATTTTTTTTTCTCATGATCAAGTAAAAATTTCATTTCTAAAAGATGTCATAAATTTTGTACTTTGTCATACATATAGATTCTATTTTTTTTCAATAGAAATTTAAATTGTCTTCATACTATTAAACAATTGCGAGTTCATCATGAAAGAAAATGATCATCATATGAACATAATACCAACTAAACTATAGAGATCAAACATCATAGTACGTTCAAAAGACATACAATAATTAAAAACACCACCAAAAAGATTTGTTACAAATAGCCACATATCAAGACCGAGATCGAGATTGCTGGTCTTAAATCAGAAACACCTTGTCTTGAGAAAATAACGATTTTCTCTAAAGTTTGACCTACGACGTTTGATGTCGAAGAAGCTGAACCTAACATTGGTTTGCTGAGAAACATCAAGCTCGACAATTTCGAGAAGCTAAGTGTTGGGTTCAGACTTCTCGACTTCAGAAGTCTTTGGTAAAGCTTTATAGAAAAATCGTTATTTTTCTAGATACAGCATCTTTGGCTGAGGTTTAGACTGACATTCACCAAGACTGAGAGTCTTGATCTCGGTACATGTTGTCGATATACGTTACAACAGAAACAATTATCGTTCCACTGCAGATTTTTGGACGTGTTCGCATGGTTTTTACACTAAGTTATGGGAATCATCCTCAGACAATTTTCGATAATGTATATGAATAAATCTGGATGATCTTATTTATCATTGCTATGTGGACCACACTTGAATGGCTCTCTCAAGTGATTTGCTGAGATTGAAATATCATAAACTCTTTGTTTTCTTTAACTTCGTTTTTTTTTTGTTAAAGTGAAGCTTCTTTGAAAAATGTTTGCATCATGCTACACAATGGTCAACATGACCGCAGTTATCAAATTATTGAGAAAAAAGAGGCACGTTTACATATTCTCCATTTGTCCCTTTTCTTTGTAAATAGCTAAATTAGATGAGAAGATTGTTTGTTTTCTATTTCGGATACTCAATGTGAAACTTATTTATGTTTCGACTCTCATCTTGTTCATCATCCTATATCTAAATAACACACCGTCAATGTCTGTAAACGTTGAAAAATCGATGCTATAATACTCGTCTTAAAACGATATTCTTCTACGATTTCGTTTATTTGTAGTAGACAACTCGTTTGTTCCAAAGAACTTTTCTAATATTTCTTTTCCACATATAATTATCGTCTTTGCATGTACCCTCTACTTTTATACGTATACTATGAATATAGCTTTTTTAAAATTTTTATGAGATACATTTATTTTTAACCTTAACTATTTTCATAAGAAACAGCTCAATCCAGAGCATATTTAATTGAATTAACTAAAGATTTGAAATTCCTAAAACATCTTGAACAAGCTCTGTCACAAATTTAACCTGAAACATATCAATTTTATTTTGAATATATTATTGGATTAAAACAAAATTCTTCAAACAATCTACATCAAAGTAAAAATTAATTTATTATAAAATGAATCTTGTTAGGAAACATATGAAAGTCAACAATAGTTATGAGAACAAGAATTGATTGACGCATATGAAAATATCGTTATATATTTATAATCATATCTTATTATTCTTTTTAATTTTTTGCTTGCTAGTGATTAGTATTATAAAGATTAACTTTATTTAAATATTTTACTTTGATCATATGGAATATTTAATGTAATATGAAACTATAGTTAATCATCATTTACAACTCGATATATTCTATCATTCATCTAATCTTAATTATTTAACAACAATTGATTTTACATCATGTAATAGTGTTATTGAAAGATGAGATTTATTTGCTGAATGTTTAGGTAATTTAATGTTAGATGATCCAGGAGTATAGTTTGATTGTTTTTACAAGAAAATATTTGACGTACATTTCGTATTAGTGTTGAAACTCTTCTACGTATTGAATGACAAATACTACAATTTGTTATTCAATTAGCAAAACAGTATTCAGTAACAAGTGAAGAAAATATAACAGCTGAAATTTATTGATATATAGAATATTACCACGTCAAGTACCTTTATATAAAATTGGTTTAAAAGTATTCGAATGTATTATTAAAAATAAGTAATTTCATTTGATTGTATCTACTTCTATTGGTATAGGCAGCAGAACGTTTTCATTCTAGGGTAAACTCAACATTTTTTTTAAATAAGATTCTCATCTGGAAGTTAAAAATGAGAGGGGAGCATTAAAAAAAAAAGATGTTGGATTATAAGCTTCTTTACTGTTGAAAATTTTTAGTAGGCATGTAATTTTAGTTGCAGAAGGCGAACGGAAATTTTTGCAGATTCTAATTAACATGACTCAGATTTTTCGTACGTTTTTTCTTCAGTTGTGATGAAAGATTCCCATTTCATGTTATTGCCGATATACGATTCAATATTTACTTGTACAAAAGTCAATGTTTCCTCAAAAACGTTTTTTTTTAAGTCCACTTGATTAAGAAAATGTTATTATTAGTGGCCTAAGGTAGCGAAAAATATTGACGTTTATTACAAAAATAAGGGATACGCTGCTCAAATCTGTTAATCTAATGGAAGAAGAGAAGTGTTTGAGCATACTTTCACCTACAAAGCGTGAGTCTAGGATAGGTTTTGATTTACTCAAGGCTTGTGGCTCCACCACCTATGTGTATTGGACACAAGTTGGTAGTAGAGTAGATAAAGTGTGGACTAACTTGGTAACAATGCGTCAAATAAACGTTGTTTTTTTTTTTATTCTATAATTTTTCCTGTTTATATTTCTAGAAATATTCAAATGATTGAATTAAAAATTCTAGTTAACAAAAAAAAAAAGAAAAAAGTCTATTGTATTTCATCAAGTTTCATAGCTAAATGTCCTGTCTTTATAAATAATTGACATCCATTTTCACTTTTGACTTTAAATTGTCGCCCTGCCCAGTCAATGGGTCGTCTTATCCAAAATCCTTGTGTACAAGTATTCTTATTATTTTCATCATCTGTTCCATCAATATTTGTAAAACTCATATCACCTTTAAGTACAAATATTTCTTCACCACCTTGACCAACAATCCAATGATTACTTTCAAAACCAGCTTCCCATTTTTCCATCCATACACATTCGCCTGTTTTTGTATTCGAAAATAAATTCAGATATTGTCGCTTTACATCGGAATCTTTTATTTTCCAATCATTCGAAGTTTCTGTATCGATAATAACTAATGGTGTTTCTGTACGATCATTCATTTGACGAAGTTTAACTAATATTACAGCACCTTGTTCACCTGTCCATGGTTCATGTTGTGTATCAATTCCATGTCGACAATAACTTAACGGACCATGATCACCAGAAAGATCATCAGAAAATATTCCATCTAATACAACAAATTCTTCACCACCACTATGAGTATGACGAGGGAATCGTGCAAATGGTTGATATCTAACAATAGTTGTAGCTCGAGCAACTTCACCACCTGTTCGATCTAACATTCGACGTTGAACACCTTGTGTAGGTGAATCAACAAATGGAATTAAATTAGAGTCAACAACATGTGGAATAGAATGATCAGAACGAAGCTGCATAATGACGGCACTACTGGTTTAGTTCTTGTCGGATTTAATGTTATGAAATGAAGTAACAAACAGAATATATATGAGGGGTAAAAACGCATGAGTCATAGTTGACATGGCAGAAAAAAAATACCAACAGAATGAGAAAAAAGAATAGCAAGATACACGTTTTCTATTGTAGGTTGTCTTATCAGTTAACGTGGCTTAATTAGGAACATCTGATTAGCATTAAACAAAATTTATTCAAAAGAAAATTAATTATTCTTTCTAAAAGACGTTTTACAGATTTCAGATGTTATATTTTTATACGAAACGAAATTATCGTCAATTAAGTTGTATTATATATTATACTCTATCATCAAGATATTTATCTTCAACGAATAATCTAATAAATCATGATGAAATTCATAAATGGAGCCATTCATTACGTGAACTTCTTTATGATGGTAAACCAGAAGAAGTTCTTAAACAATATCATAATCGACAACCACGATTATTTGATTTATCTGTACAAATATATATGGTATACTTTTTAAAGCATACATATTAACTAAAAATTGGTCTGAAGGTCATCAATTATATACTCAAATTTGAACTAATAGAAAATTTTCTAATGATCAACGATTACAAATCGCAAGTAGATTATAAAGTTTAAAAATGATATTTTATTTTCTGATTTACTTTTTCTTTTTCATATTAGATCATATTAAATATGTACTCAAAAGGAGGTTATTTCGATCTAGGTAATTCGTTTTTACTTCTTTTACTTTCTATTTCGTTTTGTTAAATTTAGCGGAAAAGATTCTCTCAGATCTAATAGCATCATTACCAATATCAACTAATCCTCATCATATTGATCCAACAGCTTTTTCTATACTTATGACTGCATATAATCTTCATCATCAACCAGAAAAAACTTTGATCACACTTGATCGTGTTCAATATCCTGATGCTATTTCTTATTTATTTTCATTTCAAGCATGTTCACAATTAAAAGATCTACAACAAGGAAAACGATTAATTAATAAATTAGCACAATCAAATATAGATCTTCGAAAACAATTTAAATTACAAACTACATTATTTGATGTCAGTCGATATAGATTGAATGATAATATCTAATTATTTAATTATTAGATGTATGGCAAATGTAATGATGTATTAAATGGTAAATATAAAAAAATAAGTTTTTTCTTCTTCTTTCTTAGTTTTATTTAATTTCTTTGTTCAGCTGAAAATATTTTTGAAACGATTGAAAATTCAACAATTATTCATTATAATTCTTTGTATGTATTTTAATCTTACTATGTCATATAATTTATTCTTGTTTCGTATAGATTAAAAGTTTATAATAATAATAAAATGTATGAAAAAACATTTCAATTGTATGATAAATTAAAACAAACTCAAAAGAATCTTGAATTTGATCCAATCACCTTTAGTTGTGTCCTTTATTCTGCTGCTAAAATGACTCATATTGATCGATGTCAAGAAATTCTAAATGATTTAAATTCTAGTATAATTCATCTTGATAATCATCCTATTCTTCAAATAAATCTTATCAATGCATTAGGCAAATGTGGTGATATCATTACTGGTAAATAATGTGTTCATCGAATAATTTAAATTTTTTTATTTGTTCTCATAATCTAGCTCAAAAAATTTTCGATCAGATTACACTACGACGCACTACTGGTATTTATAATGTAAGAATCATGTAGAGAGATGTGCGGGACCAAGTATTTTTCATCGTGGTGATTTTAATTTTTTGTACTCCAATCCTGGTCTAGAGAAAATTATTATATTCGTATCACATCTAAAAAAAAATTTTTCAATACTTGTTTTTTAGTTTATTTAATTGACGACTAGCACATTTTTGGGTCATTTCTCTTAATATCAAAGAATATTTACCTATATTTTCTTTTCCGTTATCGAGCACATCTCTAGTCATGTATCAATAAGAACTCCCCCTTATCCTTTCATTTTAATAGGCTTTAATGAAAGGTTACATTTATGCTCAAACACCATTCATTGCACTTTCAATTTTTGATACAATACCAAAACCAGATGCAATATCTTATTTAATTTGCAATTAATGCATGTGCTCAAATCGCTATGTTACGACGAGCTCGTATTTTATATAAACAAATTTTATGTTATTTTCCATCTTATAAAGAAGATATTCGAATAATGAGTGCTCTTATTGATATGTTTGGAAAAGTAAATCAAAGCTAAATAGTCATGTTACATATATATTATTAAAAAGTAATCAATTTTATGTTTTTTTTTCTAGTGTACTGATATTACTACAGCTCAAGAACTATTCGATACAATTGAAAATAAGAATATCATTTCTTATAATGCTCTGGTAAATATCTTTTATTTTTTTTGAATATTTTAGTAATTCTGTTTTATAGATAAATGCATATGATATGAAATAGAATTTTAATGTTTCTTTTTTTTTACTACAAAGAACGTCTTTCATTTCAAAGGTCTTAGCGGAGATGACTTGAAAGCTTTAGAAATTTATAATTCAATATTAACTCCTAATGAACAAACTTATTCAATTATTCTTAATGCTTGTTCACATTCATTACTTGTTAATGAAGCTGAACAAATATTTGATTTGATACCAATAAAATGTCGAAATGTTTTTATTTATGCAACTATGGTAAATAGTAGCATTTTTTTTTGTTTAATATAAATCTTGATTCATCTTTTTTTTGTGTTATAGATTCATGCATTTTGTCGTGCTTTAAAAATCAATCAAGCTCTAAATCTACTTAGTCAATATGAACAAACTAATAATAAATATCCACCAATGTATATAACACTATTAAGTGCTTATGCTCGTCTTCAAAATATTAATAAAGTGATTGAAATGCGTGATCTTATTGAAGAATACTTTCCAAATAATTTCCATAATATTTCATCAGCAACAATACTTTTAGCAAATACTCATGCTTTTCTTGATAATATGAATGAAACTCGACGTTTACGTACAATTGCAACTGAAAAAAATAAACTTAGTGGAATATCATGGACAGAAACAAATGATGGTCGAATACATGAATTTATTGCTCATGATGTTCGTATAAATAAAAATATACATTTTCAAATTTGATTTTAATTAATTCTCTTTATGAAACACGATCTAAAAGAAGTGTGGATAAAAGTTTGAGCTTCATACAATTCATGAGAGACGCCTTAGCAATATTCTGCCTCTCCATCACAGACGTTGTTGATATACGATCAAAGACTGTATATTAATAACGTTTCATTATAACGTATGAACTAGACATGTGCAGTGTAAGCTTCTTTTTGTACCCTATACCTTGATTGAGAAAAAATTTACGTCGGGAAAGTTAGCACCATATTCGTCTTTATCTGTCCGGATTCGCGATATTACTTGGGTTATTTCTAAAATAACTTGGGTTAGATGCAGAATTTAATTCTGCGTCGAATGGTGTCAGTTTCGAGGCGGGTTATCGGGCAAAAATACCCCACTTTTCTCAAAATACTGGTTTTCCCAGGTAATTCTCAAGGTATTCCCTGTCTGGATTCGCCATATCACTTGGGTTATTTCTAAAACAACTTGGGTTAGATGCAGAATTTAATTCTGCGTCCAATGGTGCCAGTTTTGAGGGGAGTTATCGGGCAAAAATACCCTACTTCTCTGAAATTACCGGGTTTTCCAGGTAATTCGCAAGGTATTCCCTGTCTGGATTCGCTATATCACTTGGGTTATTTCTAAAACCACTTGGGTTATATGCAGAATTTAATTCTACGTCCAATAGTGCCAGTTTCGAGGAGGGTTATCGGACAAAAACCACCCACTTCCCTCAAAATACTGGTATTTCGAGGTAATTGCCAAGGTATTCCCGGTCCGGATTCGCTATATTGCTAGGGTTATATCTAAAACCACCTGGGTTAGGTGTAGGATTTAATTCTGGGCCGAATGGCTCCAGTTTCTAAAGGATCCAGAATGAGAAAAGTGGTTGGAATACTAATGATGCTATTGTTTTGGCTAGTTGTGGTGACGCAGATTTGCTATACTAGTTGGGTGATCTCTCGAAGTAGTTAATCAATTAATATAGGATGTGCTTATTAAAATATATCGGGTGTAGGATAATAAATTAAACTCTGTACTGGATATCTGGTATGTAGCGCCCTCGTGTAGATTGTTCATTACTCTGGAACAAGATAGATAAATCAGTGAGTATGCTTTTTATAATACTCTCTTTTAAAATTGAATTCTGAATGGTAGTGAGTGAGAATTCTACGATATAAAAGGGATTTTAAGGATAATTATTATTATTAACCCTGGTAGTGTCGACCTCCTTTTCATTACAAACAAATTCTGCACATTTATAATAGTCACTTAAATTTTTCTATCACTGGAAGAATTATAAATTAGCCTAATTTTCGTTTTGAATGTGTAAAATATTACTTAATTCGTGGCATTTCTTTTGCATGAAAGGATAATTAACAGTAGATAATACATTGTGAATAGCTTGGTGTAAAATGTTGGAGTTTTTTTTGGCGAAAATCTGGAAGATGAGAGATAAAATCTGTTCCTAATTGCTCACGAAAAAGGTAACGTTTATAATTAATATTTTTGTATTTGAATCTGCACTTTTTCCTTGCATATAATCATGGCGATTATAGGACAAATATATATTATCTCATTAAAAATACAAATAAATAAAAGATGTCTATTTTATTTGTCATATTCCCAAGAGCAGAGTAAAAAACGACCCAGGTTAGTGGTACCATGGTTAAATACCTTACTAGTAGAATATAAAAAAAATGCGAGAACTCATTATATTGGAAAGTGGCGATTTTTTTCCAAACGAATTTATCTTAATTCGAAATACGATGAAAGTTGTATAAGTAGGATGAAATATCCTATATTGTGCCAAATATGACGGCGCATATTAGGGGAACAATAATGAGACTGTTCGCTAAAAAAAGAAAAGTTATAGCTAGCGTGCGGAGAGGGTCACTTATTATGTCTCGGCACAATTAATGATATTTTTTCACTTTATTGATGTAAGTACAGTTGCTCAAGAATAAATAAAAAATAGACAAATTGTTTAGAAAAGTTGAGAATTCGATCAATTGGCACTTTTCATATTTATCGTTCAATTCAAACAACCTTAATGCAGTAGTGAATAGAACCATTTTTTATGATTACTTTGTATTAATTTAAAATATTAATTAAACTTACATTTAATGTAAAAAAAATGGTTCGCATAAACAAATAAAATATTTGAGCTCACGACTTATCTCGAGTCAAATAAATGTTTCACTTATCTGGATTTACTTATATCTATATCGCATTTTAAAATTATTGGTGTGGGAATATTGCACAATTTAAACGGATAGAGTTAGTTTAAAAAAGAACATATCAAACAAGTAGCAAGTATAGTGAGAATATAACGAGTAGAAAAGGAAAGAATAGTGTATTGTGACTCGAGAATATGAGACGATGTCAAATTTTAGCGAATCCGGACAGGGAATACCTTGCGAATTATCTGGAAAAACCAGTATTTTGAGGGCAGTAGGGTATTTTTGCCCGATAACCCTCCTCAAAACTGACACCATTCGACGCAGAATTAAATTCTGCATCTAACCCAAG